GGACCAAAGAGTTGAGAAGAAGATCTATGACACTAAGACAAAACCAAAGAAGCCCTTCTCCTGGTATAGAACCAAAGGACCAGACAACCCTAAAGCAAAGGGTAAAGTCGTTATCTCCACTGGCAAGTCTGAAGAGCCAAGGGTAGTGGCTACCGGATTAGAGCCTTCCACAGTAGGGAGATCTTCAGCTGCCATACCTCCTCTTTCATCTGGGCCATCCATCACTATGCCATTATATGTTCCCTATTCTTCCACTTACCCTCAGATTGCACTACGGGTTTCTCAAACTTTATCCAATGGATGCAAATAGCTACATCAAAGTTGTTTGTCTTATCCAGCACAGTAGCAGTACAGTCAGCCCCAGTACAGTCCCAGGTACCTTCATCAGTGGACGAGTCGTTGAAGAAGCTTCTAGACAACCAAAAGAAGCTTCTGGACAATTAGAAAAAGATCATGGACACTTTGGATATTCATGGAAGGGCTATAAAGGATCTGGGCAAGCAAGTCAAGAAGATGAAGAAGACTCAGGCCTCAAAGGAGTCAGTGGAGCAGCTGAAGAAGGATGTAGAGAGGTTCACTTCTGCTAGAGACATCCCATTGGACTTGCTCCGAGGAGCAAGTCACATCAGCACAGGCAGCAGAGCATGAAGCACCAGTAGCTGGCTAGTCTGAGGAGCCAACTGCCACTACACATACTACTGCGGAGATGATCCTGATGCTCCGCAACCCCGTGGTCCCCTAGTCAGATTTGGAGATCCAGTTAGAGGACCGGAGGGAGCTGCTGATCTATACAGTCCGAGGACCCTACTCATGTGCCGGACCCGATGCAGACCACATAGGGAGTTTTCTTTACTCTCTAACCCTTTCCCTGATTTTGTTTTGATATTAGCATTGAGGACAATGCTATCTTTTATTATGGGGGGGTGGGGGGTGGTCTATTTTGATTTTGTGATAATTGGATAACATTGGTATGTAATAACTATGAGATTATTTTTTTTCTTTTATCTTTACTTCTCGTTATTTTACTTTTAGTATGTATATATTCGTTACTTTCATATTTGGTTTGTATATATTTTTACCATTTGATGTATATATTCGCTTTCATTTATGTAAATATTCGCTTTACTTCACTTTTGTATATATTCAGTTTGATTTCCGTAGTTTACTTCATAACTTCTTTCGTAATTTTACTTCATAGCTTCTTATTTCCTTTAGTAGTTTCTTTTTAAGTTGTTAGCTTCTTTTTACATTTTTTGGAACAATAAGTCTTTGGTTTTCTTAATGCCACGGTTCTTTCCAAAGGTGGATGTTGTGTGAACCGGGTGGCTCTTCCCGACGATGGATGGCGTGACAACCATCTTAAGGGATTGAGTGCGTTTTTATTTTTGCTTTAATATGTAGTAGTAATGAATAGAAGTGTCTCAGACAAGCTTCACTTTGGCCTAGTACATTTACCTTCGACCTTATGGTTAGAAGCAAGTTGATTTGCAAAGAATAGTTCTAGTTGCGACCTTTAGACTGTTGTGTTGACTAAACAATCATCGAGTGGCTTCTTGGAGCCATTTGTGATGCTCAATCTTAGCTAGAGGGCCCCCGACTCTGTTCTCTTTAGCAATCCAACAGCTTTTGAGGTGAGGTATTGAATTGCAAGTCCAAGTCACGTGCCAATAAGTCTAGAATTTGCCCTGAATGTTTGTCTAGGCGAAATTCTAAGTGTAGCTCGACTTGAGAAATGATTATAGGTTCTCCTTGATCCAATTTGAAACTTGAAATCATCCATAGCTATTTGATACCCCTAGTCAACCCCGTTGAGCCGAAGCCCTTTTTCTTTCAATAATCATGATACAAGCCTTTATCCGTTCTATAATGACCCTCTCTTGGCACCCAATCTTTCCTTAGAATATTGGAAAAAGCATAAATTTAGGGGAGAGACGAGGAATGTGAAAGTGATAAAAGGTACAACATGAAGAAAAGAGCAGGCAAAAGAAAAGAAAGAAAAGCCAAAAAGAAAGTGAATAAGATAGAAAAGTGAAGGGATTCAATGAAAGGCATGGAATGATTAGAAAATAAGAAAAATGATCATCATGAACAAGAAAGAGTGACATTGTGTCTCTCTAGTTCCCCTAATGAAGAAGAAAATGACTCAAAGAGTCAAGAAAGTGTGAGTCGAAATGAGAAAATGAAGTGCTTAACGAAAGATGAAACCTTCATAGACCGATAAATCCTACCTTGATCCAAAAGCCTTTATTACATTCCTGCAAAAGCCCTATATGATTTCGACTTGAGTGAGCTTACATTAGTGGTAATTCACATAAGGGGCAAGCTTATGGTACTTAGAACCGGACTTGTGACATTCCCTTGTGAGAGATGAGTGTACTTCTTCACAATCCTTGTCTTGAGTGCACCAATTCTTAAGTGAGATTTGCTTATGAAAAGTAGAGGAGAAAGAGTTTGAGTTCCACAGCGACCTACGTAATAGAGCGAGTTTCCTTGGCGAATTCAGTCAACTCTTGATGCTCTAGTGTTGCATTAGAACTATGGTACTCAAAAGATTTTGTGTTGTTGATAATTCATTTGTGTTGAGGGTAATTGTTAGTCTCAATTGATGCTTGATGAAGACACCTTCGGACAACTGAAATTTTCCCCTCTTTTTCTTGTGGATGTAGGAATTACCTTGTTTGCTTGAGGACAAGCAAACGCTTAAGTTTGAGGAGTTGATAAGTAGGGATTTTAGCATATTATTTGCTCTCTTTTACTTAGGTTATGGGTCAAAAATGCGCGGCCGCTAAATTACTGGCGCAACCGCGATTGGAATTCCGCTGACAGTGTACTTAGTTTCAAATACTGCATGCTATAGAATAAAAGTAGAAGTAGAAAACAAACCAACCATTTGTGGAAGTGCAATTAAGATAAAAACCCGTATCTCTACTTAGATAAACCTAACTCCAAATAAATTAACTCCCTGTGGATTCGATCCCGACCTTGTTGGGTAAAACTGCATCGACCATCCTCGCTACTCAATAGTAGTGCAGGCTTGGACCCGATCATCTGCTGCACTCCTTCTTGCCTTATGAGCCATAACACTCCTTTTTGAGTTAGATTTCTTCATTAAGGTCCAATTCTCCAATATTCTTACAATTTGCACAAATTTATTGGTTTTGGGAATAAAAATCAATACTTTCGGACTAAAACTAAAGCAAGAAGGTACTAATAAGTGGTTAAAATCCACACTTATCAGTTGTTCACCTTCATCTTGAGTGTGTCTATTTTTTTAGTTTTATATTCTCTTGTACATTACGAAATGAAATTGCCCGTTATTTTCTTTAGGTACCACCTATGAAATTACTCAATTATTTTCTCAAAGTCCACCCATAAAATCATTCATTATGAAACTTATAAAAAGTGAAACTCCAAGATAATGTCTTGGAGTTAGAAACTTATTCAAGTAAAAGCTTGAACTATCTTATTCTCGAATTGATAAAGGACCACGCTCCATGATTTTTTATGGAGTTAAATTGATAAAGGTTCAAACTTCATGAATTTGTTCAAGTTTGAATTTCACATTTCAAACTTCAAGTATCATATAAAAGTTTTGAACTGCAAGATATTATGCTGGCCTTTCTTTATCAAGAGATATTTTTTTGTCCAAATTCTTATTTAAAAGAGGCTAAAGCTAAACAATCTTAAAATTATAGCTAAATGTTGATTAGTGAACTGAAAATTGATATTTCTCCATCTTTCTAACAAAGAAATATAAAGCCAAATAATCCATCGGGATATTCTTGTCTATACCAATTCCCACCCTACTTACCAAGCGATCCTTTAGAGCCTAAGTGAGGTCCTAAGAATGGCTATTTGTGGGGACTTTGGCATGGTACGTACCTATATAATTAGCAGAAAAAAGCCCTATTTATAAATATTTGCCACATAGCCAATATATACATCATACCAATAATGTGTATATCAAAATATATATCACAATTTTAATTTTCTTCTTTGTTATATTAAAATTTTATTTTCCTTCTTTTATATCTAAAATATAAAATTATAAATATAGTTGTTTAAAATTCATTATTGTCGCTATATCAATGTATGTCACAATAAAAATAATTACATTATATGTATATCGAGTTATATAACATATCAAATAATGTGTATACCAAAATATATATCATAAGTTTATTTTTCTTCGTTGTGTATATTAAATTTTTCTTCTTTGTATATCAAAATATATATCAGAATTTTATTTTTTTCTTTGTATATCTCAATATATATCAAAATTTTATTTTTCTTCTTTGTATATCTCAATGTATGATACATATTTCTTGTGGATATATACAAATATATATGCTAGAGATACATAGATATACAAGATTAAAATCAAAACTATTTTTTAATTAAAAAAAGATATCAAACGAAATACAATACAGTTGCACTCGATAGCCCAAAAGTTAGGTTTAACAAAGAGATCTGTAAATCAAATCAGCAAAAGTGGTCTTTTCAATCTCAATTGTTTTCAGTTTTTTGGTTTTCTCACAACACGAGGGCTTGTGAATAACCCATTAGAAACCTTCAGTAATTGGGAAAATTTTGAAAAAGATAAAGAAAATGGAACGTGATTTCTTGAATGGACTAAACAAAGACTCATATAATTTAACGAGTACAAACCTAAATTGATGAAAGAAGAAGAATTTGTGGTCTGACCATATGTGTAATGGAATATATCTACACAATGAGAGAGGAATAAATAGGGAAGTAAGTTTTTTGGGAATTGGTTATAAAATGGTAATTTTTTTGAGCTATCTTTGCCAAACGTAATCTAAGTCCAAATATTTGCCAATTCCTTATTATATGTCGTCACCCAATATCAATTTCTCCTATTTGTGCACTTCCCCAAAAGAGTCGCTAGCTATCGACATTGAGCCCAATTGTGAGAAAAGAAACATAGAGCCCAATAGACTCAGAGGCCCAAACGCACTGTCTCTCTCACAGCCACTCACCATTTTCCCTTTTCACTCTCAAATCTTCTCCTCTCACCTAGGGTTCCATTACTCTATACACCCAGAGAACCCCTCCATACTCTACATCTACACCTACACAGATTATCGAAACCTCCCTATAACTCCACAAAACTCTCCAAATTCGGCGGAATTCACACTATGCCGCGGCAACGGGACTACGACGATGACGACGTGGAACCGGAGGAGGAAGAGGAAGACGTGTACGAAGAGGAGGACGAAGAGGAGGAAGAAGAAGATGATCATAGAGGAAAGTCTGGACGCAAACGGCGTAGATCGGATTTTATTGATGACGTAGCGGAGGAAGATGATGATGAAGAAGAAGACGATGATGATGAGGATTATGGCGGCGGCGGCGGCGGCGGTAGACGACGCCCTAAAAGGAGGACTGGTTCAGAATTTTTTGATCTCGAAGCTGCTGTAGATAGTGATGAGGACGAGGAGGAGGAAGAAGGCGAAGACGGTTAGACTTACTACCTATTCAGTTTTATTTTGGTCGTTAATTTGTTTTATTCTGTTCATTTACTAATTTGCCTGCATCGAAGAATGAAGAGTTCTCATAAATATGTATTGAAAATAGTGTTTTGTTGAAATTTGTGGATGAGCAGATGAAGTAGGATTGGGAGGATAGGTAGAGAGAGCTCTGCTTTGATATTTAGGGCTCCTTTGAACATTTATTTGAAGTTTAAGTTGGAAAATATCATTTGAAATTGAAACCGAAAAAAGTTTGTGGAAGTTAAAGTTGTGTTTGGATTGTTATAGTTTTTTCGGTGGAAGAAGATGATTTGAGAAACTTATGACACAACTTCAAGTTGAAAAAATAAAATTTCTCAAAGTTCAAAGTTCAAATTCATTCTTGATTTCACAAAGCTTCAGCCTCTTCAATAGAGACTACAAAACGCCACCTCCTTTTTTTTTGATAAGGTAAATAATTTTATTGAATGAAAAAAGGGGATAACCGCATACAAAAGCCACCACCTTAATGAGATTATATATTGTTTTGGTGATATGAAAACGTGGAGCGCTTGTATATACCATAGGCGAGTATATGTGATGAATAATCATAGGCGTGAGAAAAAGTATGTAGTATAACCTATAGTTGATGTGGCAATAGAGAGAGTTGCTGATGTTTTTTCAAGGGAAGTTAGATGTGGCAAGAGTTGGTGTATGGCAAGTTGAAGAGGTTTCACTTGCCCAGGACTGGTGCTGTAATATAAAATTTTGGGCTTGTAGTTTTGTTCAAGCATTGATGTATATAATGGGCTAACCAACAAAATACAAGATGAGGTCTCATGGTGTATGATATGTGTTGATAATATTGTGCTAATTGACGAAACCAGTGAGGGTGTCAATCGAAAGCTTGAGTTATCGAGAAGCACCTTAGAGAGTAAGGTTTTAAGATAAGTAAAGGTAAGACTGATTTCATGTACTGTAAGTTTAGTCAGCATGAGAAAAGCGAAGCTAAGGTGAGACTAGATGGAATTGCAGTGCCAAAATGCAAACAATGTAGATATCTAGACTCGTTATTTCAATAAAATGGAATGATTGATGAAGATGTTACTATAGGATTAAAACCGGATGGTTGAAATGAAGAAGTGCTACCAGGGTGTTATATGATAGAGGGATGCCTATCAAGGTGAAAGTTAAGTTCTATAGAACAACTATAAGACCGATTATGTTATATGGTAGTGAATGTTGGGCTGCTAAAGTTCAACATATTCACAAGATGAGTGTTGCAGAAATGCGAATGCTAAGATAGATGTGCGGTCACACAAGATAAGATAAAAAATGACCACTTTCACTAGAAGGTGCAAGTAGCACACATTGAGAATAAAATGAGAGAAGGCCACCTGAGATGGTTTGGTCATGTCCGGCGTCGACCTATAGATGCACCGGTATGTAGGTGTGAAACCATGGTGGGAGAGTGCGTGAAAAGGGACGGGGTATACCTAAAATCACATGGAAGGAAGTTATCTCGAAAGAAATCCTTGGAATCGATATAGACTTAGCTAAAGATAGGGCATAATGGAAGAGAAAAATCCGTATAGGTGATACCTACTAGTTGGGAGTATGTTTTAGACCGGATAGGAAACTTCTATATATATATAGAGAGAGATATATTATTACCATTATATATATATATTACTTGTATTTCTATTTATTTTGGTAATGATGATGAGTTGAGCTAAATGAAAGGAATGAGGTTTCCTCAACTTGCTTGGACTGAGGCGTAGTTGTTATTACTGATGTATAGGAGGATTGGGACTAGTGGAATATGGTGTAAGCGTGTGGAAAGGAATTAAGGAGAAGGCAGTAATCCATAACTATTATGTGACTGCAACTATAACCTGAGAAAGAAAATTCAGCTTTTCTGTAGTTAGTACAAGGATTTTGTTGCAGACAGTTCTTGTCTATTGACTGTAGAACAAGGATGGACGCTGAAGGACAGAAAACAGGAAATAGAGAAGGATACATAGATTTATCATTGAGGTGTTTTACTTATAAATTTGTTAGCAAAAAATAAATAACTGTTAAAGACAAGGTACTTAGGTTGAATAAGCAGGCGTTTGGACATAGAAAAATGTAAAATTTGAAAAAAGTCATTTTTGAAGTTGAGTTGAGAAAATGTATTTGAAATTTGAGATTGTGTTTGGACATGTATTTGACTTGGAAAAATATTGTACGTTTGTGAGGAACTACATTGTTTACTTTACCACTTCTTCAAACTTGAAGCTCATCTTCAAAAATTCTGTCCAATTTATAACCAAACAATAATTTGAAGATGAGTTCGGGAAAAAAGGAAAAATTTCTTATGGACAAACGGATCGTAAGAGTCGGCAAGAAGTAGCACATGTTTCACAAAGAGGAAACTACTTTAGATAAATTAGGAAAAAAATTACATTAGATTTATCATTGAGGTGTCTTCCCTATAAATTTGGTAGCAAGAAGTAAATAGACCCCTCAAGACAAGGTACAAAGGTTGAATAAGAGTATGCAAGAAGTAACACGTGTTTCGCAAAGAGGAAACAACTCTAGATAAATTAGGAAAAAACTACATTAGATTTATCATTGAGGTTTTTTGCCTATAAATTTGGTAGCAAAAACTAAATAACCCTCAAGACAAGGTAAAGGTTGAATAAGAGTGCAAAAGAAGTAACACATGTTTCACAAAGAGGAATAAAGTGTTGGAGATAAATTAGGTCCCAATTTGAGCAGAATAAACTGAAAGAAGAGGAAACAGTAAAGAAAAAAGCAGCCCTGGATTTTATATTTGACATTTCCAAGACTGACCGCTAAGGTAAAGCTATATAAAGCACCTAAGAATCTGCAAAAATTCACAAGACAACATTGAAGATCAAACCGTTACTCTTAGCCTCTTATTATTATGAATTTATGATTATGGTTATTTGGGAAAACTGAGTTTAAGATAAGACCATGGAGCTTTGAGATTGGGTACCCTGAGTAGATTTATCTGAAGCTTAGTAGGTCCAAGAGAAAACAAAATGCATGCATAATTGTCAGCAAAAGGGCAAAGCCATAATTACCGGGGTCCCGGAAAAGAATGTTACTAAAATATCAGGGACATAAAGTAAAGGACACTGGTTCGAGAATTGAAAACACATTTTAATAAGCGCCATATGAAGTGAGACCAGTCCAAATTAATGTGGTAAGGAGAAAGAGAACATTGCAACTGATTGTGAAAAGGCTAATTAAGTTCTGTAAGGGGGTACGAAGGACTGTCTTTTGTTTTTGTTTGGTCTTTTGGTTTGTTCAAATACCACTTAGGTGTTTGTGTACAGATTTTATGTTGGTGTTTTTTTGATAAAGTAAGTGATTCAGTAGAAGGCATCAAGCAGATGCAAGAGGGTTTTATGTGGGTGTTTATTTGGGTTTACTTGAACACCATTTTGCGGTGTCTATATTACATGGGTATATACATGTATCATCCCCTTAGACCATAGACCAATATTATAATTTACCTATCAAGAAAGAGTGTGTCGATAATATTTCAATTAGCAGTGCATAATTAGCTGAAATTGCAGATATGTCTTTCTCTTAGAATCCATGTAACATTTTGTTCTTTGATGACCGAGAAATTCATCTAGAGCCGACCCTTTGGGCCAACTGAAGCCTCCGAAACTCGAGGATGATGGACTTGCCCCTCTACCCTTCTCCACTTACATACCAAAGTTGATTTGCCAATTGAGCTAACCTCTGGTGGCAGAATTCATGTATGGTTGCCTGGATCAATCAACCTGTCCTAGTTTGCCTTCTGTAATCAGATTTTAGGGAATCAATTGGATGGTGAAGTTGCTTCACACCATTCGATATTGAGTAACTGGAAAATAAACTTGTCCCTAGAAAAGGTAGTTCACTGCTTGAAGGTGAGATCCCTGATACCATCCTCTCTCTGGTCACAGAGGAAGTTAATAAGACAACTTTTTGTTTGCATTTTATGAGATAAAATGATTGCTAAATCAGGATATAGAGCAATCCTGTGATCTGACTGAATGGGCAACATTAGCGCCCCAAAGTGATACGAAATAGCAGATCGTGGCAATAGATTAGGTCGCACGAAATTGTGGGTGATCGTCGAAGCTGTAGTATTGGTGACTCAATTTACATAATTATGAGTTTGGCTAAATGGCTAAATGCACTCTCACAAAGGTCACAATGAGTTTAAAACATTATCGTCTCAATATTTTGACATATTATGTACAATCTAGAAAGAAGAGGGAAGAATGCCTAATTTGCTTACATGTGATAAATTTGCAGCTAATCAGTTTCGTCTTTGGCAGTTGAAAACTAACATTAACCACCACCACATGGTTAAAAGCTACAAAGCACATTTCCATACTGTACCTCTGGAAGAGCAAGATACAATAGACCAATGAGTCCAAGCATTTGAATGTGTAATGATACAGATAGACAGGGATTAAAAGGGAGACAGACAGAGAAATATCTACCATTATGTCAAAAAAAAAAAGGAAAAAGAAAAAGAGAGAAACCTTTGGACACTTTACCAAGAATAGAGTTGAGTGTATTCTTGATAACTTATAAATATTTGAGTACCCCTAAAATTTTCAAAAGAATTTCTCTTGGAATCTATCAGATATGGAAATTAAACATGAAAATATGAATGTGGACATCTGCTTCCAGAAATATAATCAACTCACAAACAAACCATATTGCTTTCTTTCCTAACTCATTGGTTTCTTGCACATAAATGTAACATGTTTAATGTGCAAAATCTCATTTTATTAAAGATAAGCTTTTCACACTACCAATATGAGAGTTTCAAATAGATCATATCTCCTAAAGATGTAATATAGTAGTGCGTTGGCACAATGGTAAAATTTGTCGTCGTGTGACTCGGAGGTCACTGGGTTCAAGCTGTGGGAACAACCTCATGCAGAAAGCAAGGTGAGACCGCGTACAATAAAACCCGATGTGGTCCGGTCCTCCCCTAGACCCGGACATAAAGGGAGCGTAGTGCACCGGATTGCCTTTTCTAATTCGACATTATAAACAAATGTTCATCTAATGCACTTTTTCCTAGAATTCATGCACAACCGTCAGATTATTATCTTCTAGAACCTATTGAATGGTGGTGCGATAGTTTTAGCTATTTCTTTTAATATTATTATTGGCATAAGCTAGATATTGTCATAACCATTGGAAAAGAAAGGAAAAGCGTATGTTGGGAATGGTAAACATTGAAAATTGGTTTATATATAGTGTCTGAACTGGATTTTGATGAGGTGATTTCTTGTAGAGGTTGGATAGTTGCTTTCTTGAGGTGAACGTACGAAACTTTGGGAACCTCAACCTTGATATAGGAGAAACTCTAAAAAGGGTTGCGCAATGAGCGTGGTGACTTACTTTTGCTAATAGTTTGAGACAGTTGTCCCGGATTGCTTGGCCGTTAAAACATGTCTAGGTCGTGGTTAAAGAGAATTTTTTGCTGAAATGTTCCTCACGAAACTGAGTCTGGGATCAGATGGTTTGGTTATATTTACCATTGGCTGAAAGGAAATTATTTGACACAGATCCTCTCTGCAGCAGCCAAATGGTTTGGTTAGATTTAACACCATTGGCTGAAAAGGAAATTATTTGAGACACATCCTCTCTTGTTTAACTTTTGTAGACAGTGGCGTCAGCTCAGGGAAATCTTCAGTAGGAAATACTCCATATAGTTTATGTGCAGTCCACTTTGTGGTTGCTGAATTTTGTTTTCCAGTTTTTGAGTTCCAAGCTAGTGGGGCGTGAATTTTTGTCTGTCTAGAATGAACCTATCAGACACTTTGTTGTTAATTAATGTTAATAGGTTTGAGCGTTTTCTATTCTTCTATATCTCTCCGTGCATAGCTTCTTTTGGTTGGTGTTGATTGTTAGATTTTTCGGTTTGCAGATTTCATAGTAGATGGTGGAGCGGAGATACCTGATGAGGATGGTGCCAGACGTGAATATCGTCACCGGATGTTGCCACATGATGACCAAGAAGAAGACCTTGAGGAGCTTACGAGAAGCATTCAGCAAAGATATGCGAGGTCAGCTCATGTGGAGTATGATGAGGAAGCAACAGAAGTTGAGCAGCAAGCTCTCTTGCCATCTGTCAGGGATCCTAAGCTGTGGATAGTGAAATGTGGGGTATGATATTGGCAGGCTACCTTAGCGTTCAGCATCTTATCTTTTTGTTTTTTGTTTTTAACCTTAAACATTTAATCTTCTAATTTATTTCTACATCGTATTTTGTAGATTGGTCAT